CCGTCTTTTGCAGTTTTACAAAACTTCGCGATAAACTTCCACAATTTCTCCTTCATCGCCACGTCATCATTACCTGCCAACTCGTTCACACGTTGTCCCAAACGTAATAAGCATTCCCTTGTCTTCTCAGCACGTTGTTTTGGGTCCAAGGCACATTGTGAGTCATCCACATGAGAAAGTTTTTTCAAATCACTTAGAATAGCGTTTTCTGTTCTGCAAAGTTCTCTCGACAAAACATGTGAATTGGACTCTTTCGACCCTTTTGTCAAAGTGCTCATGGCTACTCCTGATGATGATGATGATGATATGGAATATTTGTTATCCGAGGATTGATGACGGTTTCCCATAGCTCTAACTTTTTTAGACTCCTCTTGTTGCATTTCTTTTTCCAAAGCCTTGAATAAAACTGAAACTCGACGTTGAAGTTTATTACCATCTGGAGCTTTCTCGTTGTCATTTGGGTCCCCTGTGTTGATTTTATCCGTTAACCGAAGAGAATTATCCTCCTTGATTGCTTTCCAATTTCCAAATCCATGTCTGTATATGCCAACCAGAAGCATAGCATCTTCTACAGGACCCCATCGTACACCAAATGATACCGGTTTCAAGGGATTCCTAAAACGAAAACGTTTAGGATCTTCATAAACTGACAATTTTCGCCATAAAAGTTCCAACTCGTGGTTACGTCGTACTATTTCCTCAGCGTTTATAAACTCTCCTGCAAAATTTACCATCAAGGCTTTCTTCCTCTCCTTGGGATCTTCATAGGATTCCTTGTCGCTCTGTGTAACCAACTTTTTGGCTTGTTCCAATAAAGAAGAAAAAATGGACTTCAACTGTTCATCGTTCACTTTTCCTTCCAAGCCTGCATCACGGATGATGAGTGAAGAAGCAGATAAGCAACCAAACTTTCTAAATGATTTCAATAAAGTCTTCCAGTCTCTCTTCGGAATGGAATAGCCTTCTAGTGATATCGTTGCTTGTTTCGAATGATTGGTTTTTTGACGAGGTCTTCTTGAGGTGGACGAACCTCCTTGCACCGATAACTCAGCATTTTGAGTTCGAGAACGCTTCCTAGGTGTTACATAAAGTTCTTCCGCAATGGCACCTTCCTTCAAATGATCCGGAATAATTCGACCCCAAAACTCATTATCAGTTTCCCTTAATAACTGTTGATCCCTTTCCTCCAACTGCTTCATTTTTATCACTGATTCGTTCTTTCCATTGTCGGAAGCTGAACGTCCCAAACGTTCTGCAACTGCTGATGCCATAGCTTGTTCTGTCTCTGGTGTAGTTGTCGATAATGGAATGTCGTTGATTTCCGTATCTTCTTCATCTACCGCAAAATCTGCCCATTTGAAGGCATTGAGTAAAGAATCTCCTAAACTTCCTCCAGGAGTCGTTTCATCCGTATCATCTGGAGCTGCTCGAGCAATAATTTCATCAATATCATCCATCTCCAATCGATGAGTATCCGCAGCTGCTGCTTCATTTGCTTCATCTTCTGTTGCGTTACGAAACAGTTCTTCAGCTCCGAATCTTAATATGGCCGAGAGTTCCTCTTTCTTAAAGGTTACGCGAGCATTATTGGAGGCATCACCTTCTACTCCTGATATCACAAGGTGTTCTAAGACACGTTTCCGTTTGGCCCTTTCAAGAATGTCTTCTTCCACCGTATTCTTACTCAAAAGACGAAATACCTTAACTTCTTTGGTTTGACCTATTCGATGTGCGCGACTTTCCGCTTGAAGATCATTCTGAGGATTCCAATCCGAGTCAAAAATAATAACAGTATCCGCTGTGGCTAAGTTTATTCCTAATCCACCAGCGCGAGTGCTTAAAAGAAATACAAAATCTTGAGAATCCGGCGCATTATAATGGTCTACTGCTCTTTGTCTTAAATGATTAGGCATAGAACCATCAAGCCGCTGAAAAGAGAAACCTCTCATCCTACAATAGTCTTGTAGAATATCCAACATACGGACCATTTGAGAAAATATCAAAACTCGATGACCTCTTTCCTTCAACCTCAATAACAACTTGTCCAGTAATATTAGCTTTCCTGAAGCCTTGATGAGACTCTGTAGAGGGTCGGTCGAGTTTTTGTCTTCTACACCTTGAAACAAGTATGGATGATTGCAACACTTTTTCAGTTCCATTACAATATTCAATAATGTCGTTGCGTGTCCTCCTTTCCTACTTTCATTGTCAGTATTTTCAATTCCACACTAATATAACATACTCTTTCAATCCAGCATTTAACATTGCAAAATTTTTGGTCAAAATCCAACGATAATACTGTGCTTGCAATGGACCCAGACCAACTCGAAGTACTGCATAAGTCTTCCTTGGAAGTGACTTTTCCACATCGGCCTTCTGACGACGTAAAATATACGGTCTCAACTCAGCATGTAAACTAGTAATATTTTCAGGTTTCCGCAAGGCTTGAAAATCATACTTTTCTTCAAATTCTGAAGCAGAATTATATTTTTCGGGGTGTAGATAATTCAAAAGTGCCCACAATTCCCTAATGGAGTTTTGTAAAGGTGTGCCTGTAATAAGCAAACGATTGGCGGAAGTAAGACTAGTCAGTGTTTGATGAAGGGCACTAGCTTCATTTTTTAGACGATGTGCTTCATCCACAGTAACAATAGCCCAACGAATCATTGAAAAATACTGCAAGTCTCCTAAAATCATTTCCGGAGTAGTCACCAGTACATGAAATTTACATTGTTTCTTATTATGTGGAGAAAACCATTCATATTCTCGAATCATTTCTCGAGATTTGACGTCTCCAGTATAAAGAACAACATTAAAATCTGGCAACCAAATAGAAAATTCTCTTTGCCAAGAAGCAATTGTACTCAAAGGAACGACTATAAGAAATGGACCAGGAACACTAAAAAATATTATAAATACGTTATCCAGCAAATGACATCAACTTACTTCTTTTCATGTCTTAACCATCCAAGGAAGGCTATTGTTTGTAAAGTTTTACCTAAACCCATTTCATCTGCCAAAATAACGTTTCTGTTATGACACCAACTAAAAGCTAACCAGTTCATTCCCTCCAGTTGATAATCTCTCAACATTCTTCCTTGACCATGAAGCCATGCAGGCTGTTCAGCAATCCCTTTAAAAGGTTTCCTCGAAGCTTTGGAGCCAAAAGGATTAAACCTTGAAGAAACAGGACTAGAAGCTGCTTGTTCGCGTTCGAGGAATTCATCGATGGCTGTCATGTCTTCTTCTGATGTTAAGTAGTCCATAGACTCCCAGGTTGATTCTATAAAAGGTAATGAACCCCATTTGACAAGATATTCCACTTTGTGTTGCACATCATCAGGATTCTCAGCCGGAATCACAATTTCTCTCTGAGCAACAATACGTTCGACTTTGGTATATTCTCGTATAAGGTTCCTTTCCATTTCTACACGTAATAGCTCTTCTTCCTTGTCTTCAGGAGCGACATATGGAGAAGCAAGTAACTCTTTCAAATAATTCATCTTTTTGATGTAATTTTGTACTCTCTTAAAACCCTTACAGGGCTTCAATTCTTCCAACAAATGCCAACTACAATGTCTATAAGAACGGTTGCGCCATTTAATCGCAAAGTAGCAAAGTTCAGGTTGGAAATCACGATTATCATCAACCGTAGGAATTTCTCCCTCTTCTACGAGGTCTTTGTTTGCAATAAATTGCAAATCTTTCGGCTCCATTGAATGTGCTACTACACGTTCTACGATATTCACATCTTCCGACTCTTCCATCGGCTCTTGTTCGCGTATATTATAACTTTGTTCGTTCTCACTATCTTCTTCTTCCGCGTAGTTAATAACTTCTCTACCCAGCATTCTAAGGGAGATACGACCTTGCTCCTCCTCCTCCTCCTCTTCTTCTTCGTCCACTTCATTAACACCATCGTAGACATCATCTTCATTACCATCCTCACTGGAATTCAAAGTAAACTTTTGTCTTGTTCTCTTCTGTCTCTTACCAACTCGTCTCTTAGGCTTTCCACGCAATGACCACTCCTCATCCTCATCTGAAGTGTCCAAAGTCTCTGTTTCTCTTTTCCTTATCATAGAGTCATCCACGTCATCCATTATATAAACGGACTGATTGCGATGAGTGCTATTTGAAACAAGACCCCTCCGTTTCTTTTTCGATTTGGTTTTCCTAGAATTTCTGGAGGATTGATATGAAAAGTCTGGGTCTGACGAAGAAGAAGAAGAAGAATTTTCAAAAGAGCCGGAAGGTGAATATGAGTCGTACGGAGAATCCGATGCTGACTCCGAATGATAATTATTATATGTGTGACCCGTCTTTACTCTTGAGGACCTTCTCAAAAACTCTTCAGGTATTTCAACTGGACTCCATCTTCTCTTTCCTTGTGGTTCACTTTGTTGAGCGTTGCTTTCTACAAGTCCTTTATCGTTTTGTTGCTGTAACTTAGCATCCCAAAAACTTCCGTCGGCCTGCATTCTTTCAACACGAAATTCGTCTTCGGACAAACCTTCTTCTGATAACTTTCTCCAATCATATTCAAGCGCAAAGTTGTCCGTTTCACCAGTATCGCCAAATCTTTCCTTTGTAGTAACTTCCTTTTCTGGAAAATGCCCCATATCTGTTTCAAACTCCATATGCTATGAGATAGAATTTTGTTTATCTGAGAGGTTTTCTTAAAAACTCAAATAGCTCTTGCGTCCCGGGGTCTTCTATTATGTACTTTCAACTGAGCAAAAACCAGTACTGTTACGTTCTTCAACTTGCAAACAAGACTCTTGAAACTTTGTTTTCCTTTCTTGTTTTCCTTTTTGCTTTTCAGTTCAAGGCACTCCTTGTTCTTCGACCAACGTCAAGCTCACACTCTTATCAAAAAACAAATTACGATGATGGATATAAGAATGGGGTGCAATGTCCTTTTGATGCTGCAAGTCATTCAGTTTCTTCAAAAACACTTCCAATACTTTTATCATTTTCATATTATAATGCTCAATAGTGACGAAGCAAAATCGACCAATAACTTCCAAGCTAGCTTTTGTTATTTACGAAAATGTATCTGTATTTCTCAACACCTTCAAAGATTAGAATGCTTTCCATTGTGTCTTATCTCCGTAAAAGCATCCTTATAGTCATTGTGTTGCAAGACAAAACGAATGATTTGTTCCCTTTCGGTTGCTCCTGACGGAACCAAATGACCACCTTCATGTTCTAAAATGGTGGCATTGGCAAACAGTTGGGCTAGATCCTGGCTTCGAGAAGCATCCACCAAGTCATCTGCCTTACCATAACAGATCAAGGCAGGAGTATGGATGGTTGTCTTTATCAGAGGCAAATGTTCCTCAGCACGGGAAACGAAACCTGAAAAAATAAGAGCAAAACGAATGCAAGAAAATTCTTCGTGGCCTAGTTCTACTGCACGTTCCTTCATAGCACAGATGAGAGAACTCAGTGCTGCTCCTTGACTGAAGCCAAGAATAGCTTCAAAAGGACCCTATTCCATATACATTTCAGTATTGTTATATGGCTGAGAATAATACAAAATACCTGAGAACGAAACACATTTCTCAAATAGTCGACAGTTTCTCTCCAACCCTCATAGTGCTTCCCATCAGAGGATGCCTAAATCACACAAAATAAACTACAAAGCGAATCCTAAGCAGTTGAACATACTTTCCACCAACCAAGTTGTGGACCAATCCACTTGCGTTCGCCTTTTAAAAACTTCAATAGGGAAATTATGACTTGGAGGTTTGTTTCCTACCTGTCTCTTCGATGAGAATTTCTCCAGCAGGCTCCACAACATGGGGTGCATCAATATATACCAAAGTACAGTTGACTTTTGATTCCAGCGCTTTTCGAACAGCACCTGTTCTTTTTCGAAAGCTATTGGCATTTTGTCGAAAGCCGTGCAAACACAAAATGCGCATAGGAAAATTTCTCATTCGTTTCGTAGAGCAACGATGCGAATTCTTTTATAGTCTGCATACCNATAGTTTCCATCAAACAACTTGGACCGCAATTCTGTCTCCACAGTTTCAAGTATTCTTTCCATTTCTTCTTTTGAATAGTTTCTTGACAACTCTGGACAAAACATAGATAACCAGTTTCTCAATCCTTGAAAACCATTTTGTAACTTTGTGAGTCTATCAAAGTATGTACTGAATATGACAGTAAAACCCGCTTCTCCTAATAAACTTTCCAACTGGGTTAACCTTGGAAAGTACCACTTGGTAGGAACCCACTTTCTATTCGTATGTTGCTCGGTTGCTAGACAAAGCGCAGTTGTAATGGACTCTACGTTTCCTTCGCCACCCAACTCTGCAACAAAAGGTTTTCCTGGCAAAAGGCAATCGTGAACACTTTCTAGTAGCCGTAAGGGTTTGCTAATCCAATGAATAACGGCATTACTGTAAACAGAATCCAATACGGACCGAAAACAAAGAAATGTACCATCTGCCACTATGAACTCTATTTCAGGAAAGGAGTTTCTGGCAGAATAAGTCATTGCTGAAGAAGAATCCACACCAATCACAAAACAACCGGAACTTGAGACTTTGTATGTCAATTCACCTGTACCACACCCAAGGTCAAGGACTAGTTCAAAACGTTGTGGATTCATCAGTTCAACAAGTGAAGCACCGTTCTGAAACACAAAAGCGTGCTCGTTTCGATATAGAGCTGGCTGCCAATCGTCGTGATTGGACATTTCCTCAACGAAATACAATAGCTTTTCCATCGATAATTATTTCTAATACAAGTATTCATTTCTTTTAGAAACAAAATATGTCTTTGTTAAAAACTTATTCACAAAAGCAAGTACGACTAGGGAATATTCGAAAATATCCTTGGGCGAACAAACTGATTATTAGCTACACGTTCTGATGATAACAATAAATACTTCATAAAATACAGAACACCAGAATCTAAACAACCACCCAAAGAACACAAATACAAGTTAAATCTACTCGATAAAATTATCGACATCACTCATTATCCTCTCAAAACGTTGTACCAGCAATTGCCTATCGACTTTGATATTCTCTGTAGCCTTCTATTCAAAAGTGTCAACATGACTTTCTCTCCAAAACCTATTTGGAGTCTTACCATAGGCTGTTCCTTGATATTCTCTTCGAAAAGGAACTCTAACAACTCCTTTTCGTCTTCCAAACTATCCTCCTCTAGAGACTTCTTCTTGAAGAAAGGTAGCGTATTCAAGTTACTATGAAGTTCATGAAAGAATCAAAACAAGTTCAGTACTTAACTTGTACTAACCATACAGTCGCCACATCAGTATTTGTCCATTCCTCTTCAGCCAATAATAGTCTTTCAACCTGTTGTAGTTGAACAGAGTATCCAGTAACACACTTTTTCTAACAAACCTCAAGCTTCTGCTCCAAAAACGCTTGTCTATCCTCTTCCAGTCTAAGTATACGTGTTGGATAATAAATTTGATGTGATCTATACGTATACTGAGGCGGCAACGGTGGCATCCATCTTTCTCTCGGGGTCCACTCACTAAGACCATCTCTTTCTTCAAAGGCCAAAGTATTGGCAGGAATTCGCTTTCTTTTATAAACAGGATGCTTTCCTGTACTCACACGCTGAGCCAACTGTAACAAATCTGAGACATCGAGTCGCTTCCCAAACAATTTCTCCAAGACAAAATCAATATCGAACCAATTCCCTACCGTTCTACCACTTTGTTCACAGACTGCTCGGGCACTTTGTGCAAACTAAAAGTGCAAACGTTAAAGAGTACTCGAAAAGCTCTCCTCAGTGTGGTACCTCTTCAAAGAAGTTTTCTACTGCATTTTCCAAAAACACACAAACAGGAAATTCCAATAGCAGTAGTACTTCATCACTATAATTATTAAAACGCCCATGGTTCTGAAACAAACTATTCAAGATTGCCAAAATAGCTTTGATGTTGAGTTGTCTGGCAAAGTCTTCGGTCCATAACATCTTGTGGCGCCCAAAGAAATGCAGACAACCTAATTCCCTCCAGTTGGATGTATTGTGCATTTGTGGCGGCCGCTCATGTCGTTTACATGTTGTGATGAGTAGTTTGGAACAAGAAGACCAAGTTGCAGTAATATCGAGGTCTTTGACTTGTAACCAATACAGTTTCTATTTGAGGGGAAGAGAACAAGTTCAAGAAAACTCACAGGTTTTTCATTCTCGTTGTCACAATTGTGCTGTCTCGGAAAGTGATGAATTCGTTCATCCTCTACAGCGAACCTTTACAAAAGACCAGGAAAATTGGTTTCCCGGTACTGAAGACGATAATAATGTTGTAGTTTGTAGGAGTAACTGTCTCAACTCCCACGTTCGCTCACTTTCCTTTTCTTGCGCGTCGCTTTGTGGCACCAACCATAAACGTTTGGGACAACCGAACCAAGACCGATATTCTTCCTTGTTTATACCGCCTCTGTCTTATGCCTTTGGAGTATTTGATGGACATGGTATGTACGGAGGAGATGCTGCTGAAATTGTTGCCGATTGTCTGCTTCCTTTTTTAAGCGAACAACTTCAAAGAGGCACGCCCCCGAAGTTTGCACTTGAGTTGGCTTTTAGGCATGCAGCTACAGTACTGGACTCTTCTCCTTATGGAGCGAATTCGGGAACTACTGCAACAGTTGTCTTGATTTCTGAGGATGAAGTATACGTCAGCAACGTTGGAGACTCAGGTGTGGTATTGGGACGCTGTATACCACAGGGAAGAGAGTGCTTGAAAATGGAACCTTCAGCTTCCGTGAGAGAATGTCTTTCTGAGGAAGAGAAGAGTGATTTTTATTGGGAGGGATATTTTGTCACTGCTTCTCACCGTTTGGAAAGTTTGGAAGAGCGCTCGAGAGTAGAAGCAACTGATGCCATCATTGACGGAGAATACATTGTCAGCCGATTGGGCGAAGGAGGAGCTCTGAACTTGACACGAACTTTGGGAGACTTAGATATGAGAGCTTGTGGAGTCTTGGCGGATCCTTTTACCAACCATCTTGTTTTAGGTCCTTGTGACAAGTTTCTGATTATTGCCTCAGATGGCCTTTGGGACTCACATGACCGCAAGTTGTCTCCTCAAAATATTGTTGATATTATATCCAAGTAAGTTTGTATTCATTGTGTAACTTTCACTTTTCATATTGCAATCCAGTAATTTGTGTTGCACAAAGGATGCATGTAGACAGCTTCTTCAATTGGCAGAGGAAGATGGACCATTTGATGACTGTACAGTGATATTTGCTTTATTTTCTTAATATTTTTTTGTTTCTGTATTTCATTTGTTATCGTTTATATTGTGGATGTTAAGTAATTGATTGGATATTACTACGACGTCTTTTTGACTTTTCTTTACAATTGGGAAGGGGAACTAGTGTCTGGAAGGTCGTCAAGTTTAGCTTTTAAAGATTGCTTCCATGAGTGCAGCAATTCCAAGTTTCTAGGTCCTACTCCCGGAATAGTTGCTAGCTCTTCTAGTGTTGCATCAAATAAACGCTGGAGACAACCAAAATGTTCAAAAATGACATCGACCATTGCTACAAGTCGTGCAACGTTGTTACGATAACGAGGGTGCAGTACACTCATCAGCAGTACTCTCAACTTGCGTCGTTCATTTGCAGCTTTACGATGCTTTTTGTCAGACAATATACGATTCATTCTACATTTGACTTTGTCAAGAGTTTGTTCACCAATAGGAACACCAGTCATAGCCAAACACAATTCAAGCGTACATTCCCAAGGCAACGCACTAGTAGACACTTGACTTTCATCTTCTTGAAAAGAACAGAGTTTGCCATGAGCTCTATTGGCTGCTATACATATGGCTGTTACTTGTTCACAAAGAAAACGAAAAGCAGCAGGTGATAAAGAAAAACCTCCTGGCATAGCTCGAACAGCCTGAAGAACAACAGAATCGATGTTCTTCCAACTATTCGACGGCCAATCCACTTGAGAGTCAGTGTCATCTATAAGACTAGACACGAGCTGTTGGTCATCTACTGTTGCCTTCGACAAAACACGGTCCTCCTCTTTTTCAACCTCTTGAGCTGCTGAATAGTCATCACGTTCATCCACTACTTCTTCGCTGTCATATACACTTGCACCTGTTTGCAATATCCAGATAGGAGGTCTTTCAACCAATTCTACGCTATCTACATCTGATTCTCCAATGCCCTCTTCACCACTCTCACTGGTAGAATCTTCCAAACTATCGGAACTCAAGTATTCTCCAAACTTGTTCAACCATTCCCGACTGGGATGTGGTGAAACTTTCTGGGTCAACGACTTTGCCGCGCGCCACGTTTTTTGAAACTCATGAAAACCTGGTTCCTCTTTCTCCAACTTTCTATCTATGTACTTGAAAATTTGACGAAGTCGCTTTGTTGCACAGTGTACAATAGTGATCGCTTCTTCTCTCTCGCCGATATCCAACACCTGAGAACTCATGTCAGACACCAACTGCTGTCTTCCCGAGACAAACACCCAAATACAATAAAAAACGAGCCGCTATATCTGGATGTGTCAGTGGAACTCCAAGAAAGGAAGGATATAGAAAATGGGCAAAATTTCAAATTTTTATATGCCACACAAAAAAATATAAAACTATTATGTTGAACATACAGAGTGTTCGTCGACATCATTGTATCTTATCCAGCTTACAAATAGACAAATGAAAAATACCTCTTTTTGGACATCCAAAGAGACCACAACCAAACAATTCTCTAGCTTCTATTTACAATAAATCACTGGCAATTTTGGAAAGCTCACTTCTTTCTCCCTTTTCCAAAGAAATGTGCGCAAATAATGGCTGTCCTTTCATCCTCTCAATAAGATAACTAAGACCATTGCTGCGCACATCAACATAAGGATTGTCAATTTGATGCACATCACCTGTAAACACAATCTTTGTGCCTTCGCCAGCTCTCGTAATAATAGTCTTCACTTCATGGGGAGTTAAATTTTGAGCTTCATCCACAATAAAAAAGGAGTTGTAAAAACTCCGCCCTCGAATAAACGTCAGCGGTGTAATTTTCAATTTTTCTGTTTCAACTACTTGTAGGAGTTCCTTCATAGAAGATGGACTAGAAACTACTTTACAGTCGTCTTTGTTACTGTTCACCGACTTAATTACACCCAAATTGTCAAACAAAGGTTGCATGTAAGGCTCAATTTTCGAATCTACTGTTCCCGGAAGATAGCCGATATCACGATTGCTGTCCATTCCCGACAAAATTACTATTAGCAATAGAGTATCTGGTATGAAACAGTATAAAATTACCTCAAAGGTACAATGGGACGAGACAAGTATATCTGACGATAGTCTTGATGCTGTTCTAAGGCGGCAGCTAATGCCAAAAGAGTCTTTCCAGTTCCAGGATTACCACTGATAGTAACCAATAAAATCTTCTTGTCCAATAAGGCATGCAATGCAAAAGCTTGCTCTGCATTACGAGGGTGAATACGAAAAGCTGATTTCTTTTCTACACGCTGGAATACAAAAGTCCCACACAATGGATGATAGGAAAAGCAGGCAAGCGCCGATTTGGACCCATTCCTTAGAATAAAATTTTCGTTCATAATTGGGTTGCTTACAAATTTTTCCAAAACTTCTTTCTCAACATAATAGGGACTTTCATAAAACGAAGAAATAATATCAGAAGGGATATTTTCGACGACTCGTTTCCCACAATACAAATCCTTCAGATTGGTCATTATTCTGTCAGTTACATAATCTTCCGTCTTCAAACCCAACGCTCTTGCTTTCATTCTCAAATTGGTATCCTTCGTGACTAGAATGGTATCTTGGCATGCCATTAAAAACATTTCACAAATCTCTTGGTTGAGTCTATCTTGTGAAGTCAGCCTCGGAATGATGCCTCGCTCCATCAGGGATATTGAAGCTTCATTCAAGTCCACGAAATTACCAAAGTGGGCTTTTATGGAAGCTGTGGCTCTATCCTTTGTAAGCTGATGCATTAAACCAAGAATTCGGTGGTCAGGAGAGTCATAGAAAAATCTCGCCTCAATAACTGGACTTCTTGGCGCAATTCCTATATGAATCCTTCCAAGACTTTCACCTAATGGAAATCCCTCTTGTGACAAACAATCCGAGCGTGGATGCTTTTGGTCTACCTGATTTTCAGTATGAATGTTACTGTCAGATTCAGTCTCCGGTCTTGGAATTGGAAAACTGTTAGAGTCGGTCCACTTGGAAGATACAAGAGCTTCCAAATTTGTTTCCGAGTTCTGACTAGCCAAATCATCCAAAATTCGTAAAAATTCTCTGGCATGTCTGTTTAGCTCTTCATTTCCACGCTTAAACTTGTCCAACTCTTCTAGAACTATTATAGGAATACAAATATCAGCTGTTCCAAACTTATAAATGCAAGAAGAATCATGCAAAATAACATTAGTATCCAAAATATATAGTTTTGATAAAGTCTTCTTGGTTTGAACTGGAACCTCAGCTTGGGGAGTATGTACTCCATTTGGAGAATATTCCAAAACAACATGGTTCGAACAGATATCTTTACCTCCAACTGAACTGGAACCACTTTGAGATTCAGATTCTTCACTTGCATTCGAGCTATCAAGTTGCAAACTGGACAATGATTTTTTCCTTTCTATTTTTGGACAATTCCAACTTTCTAAGTCATAAGACAAGGAATCGAAAATAATCTCCTCTGGGTCTCTTGGACGAATGTTCTTACCACCGCCAAACGAAAGTTCGTCATCGTCATAATAGTTGTCAGAGTGCTTCTTCTGTGAATTCTTTCCCTTGCTGCTGTGGCCTGTTAAGGAGGCACGCTGTAAAATCTTGTAGCCAGTAAAACACTTTGATAGCGTAGTCACTAGTCTGGGCCTCTTTTTGGGTTCTAACTTTTGAAGCCTCAAGGAATAGAAGCGTAGACAAGGAATTCTGTATAAGGTCTGTGGACAAGAGACTCCATATTTTGTTTGTACGTGCTGCCAACTTCCATAAACTCTTCTACAAAAAGATAATGAGAGAAACGAAAGCGCTCTTTCCTTTGCTTGCATGAGTTTTCAAGTAAAGTGTTGCTTACAAACCGTCATAACAGATGAGAAATTTGTTCCAGCGAAGAAGAGGATGACTCAAAAATGGAATTTTTGGTTGACATCAAATCGCATCTCTTTAGGATTCTTCAAAATGCCGCCAAAATGGAGACCAAGGATTATTCTATAATTGAAGCAAGTCTTTATTCTTTACCGCAGTTACTTTGAAGAGCTACTTCTCTTGATAGGAATGTATCCGTATCTATTCCACAGACCAATGTACTCTTATCAGGGAAATGCAAATAACCAACCACAACCCATACTCAAAAAAGTCCTATCTAGGGCTTGATTGTCTCCCTTTCATTTTGAAAGCTAGTAATCTCCACTTGCTGAGTTGGAATGCATCAAATATAAAGAGAAACAACAATCTCCACAAGTTAACAACATCGATGATTCATGCCCATTTCAGAATGGAGAGGATCATCGGAGCCAGACTGGGATTTACTTGCACCAAGTTGTTATCGCAGTTTGTGGTTAAGAAGCAACGAGTTCCTAATCATCGATGCCTGTGCAGCCACTGCGTTCTTCATATACCATGCTTATTATCGCAGCGATGTAGTTGTTCACGGACTTCCAGACTAACCCACTATCTAAACAAGAGACATACCACGCAAACAAAGTTTCCTAGAGTTTGGAAGAGTATGGATACCAGAAACGTTTATCAGTCGAAGAAATTTTCAGATTCAGAGAAAAGCCAATTCTCATATACTGAGACTCGAGAAAGGTTGTCGACAGCAGAGCAACTCTTACAAGAGACGAGGAAGCAAGGGTCGAAGGCTGCAAGCAAAACTGAACAAGTTAGTAGGCCAGAAAGAAGTTACGATCATCTCAGTGACATTGACCCTAAACTTGGCAGTTCCGCTGTCTCTAATGGAATATCCATGAAAGATAACACAGTGTTTTCAACCGAGTTGTTACGAGAATCTCTTGATTCTGTCAGACCTCGCTATGATCCTGTAGTAGCTACTGCTTACTTCCGTACGCGGTCCTTGGATGTGAGGAAGAGACAAATAAGAATTACGGTGCCTATTATGTTATTTCTTAGTAAAGTAATTCTGGACTGGCAACGTGGTGTAGAAAAGCGGAACCGTCGGAAGAGGGCCAAAGAGTTTCTTAGTATTATTGCCAGTCTAGGACCAGCGTTTATCAAAGGTGGCCAAGCACTTTCATCTAGGCCAGACTTGCTTCCTCCTGAATATTTAGAAGAATTGCAAAAGCTTCAGGATCGCCTTCCTCCTTTTCCAAACGAAGTAGCATTTTCGTTAATAGAGAGTCAACTGAAGAAACCAGTTTCAGAGATATTTGTAAAGATTGAACCGGAACCGGTAGCAGTCGCATCTATTGGCCAAGTATACAAGGCATATTTGAGAAATGGAGAAGCAGTTGCAGTAAAAGTGCAGCGACCAGAATGTGAGAAGATAATTGCTCTGGATATTTATATTCTCCGTCAGTTGAGTGGAACACTAAGCAAGGCATTGAAAATGTTAAGAAGAGATATCAATTTGCAATCCATTATTGAAGAATTTGGAAAGCTCATTTATGAAGAGATAGACTACATATCTGAAGCTAGAAATGGAGAAAGATTTAGACAGTTATATTCAAGTATTCCATATGTATATGTACCAAAAGTTTATTGGGAATATACTCGAGACAAAGTCTTGACTATGGAGTGGGTTGACGGAACACGATTGACCGATACGGACAAGTACGGAATGGACGCTTCACGTTTGGTTGAGACAATGGTGCGTTGCTCACTGAAACAAATGTTGGAGGTTGGTTACTTTCATGCGGATCCTCACGGTGGAAACCTGATGGCAACAAAGGATGGGAAACTGTGCTACTTAGATTTTGGAATGATGTCAGAGTTGAAACCAGCTCAGCGTTATGGAATTATTGAAGCTGTTGTGCATATGGTTAATCGCGATTTTCGTTCCTTGGCTCGACTTTATGTACGCTTAGGATTTCTTCCGGAAGACACTCATTTGGATCCTATTGTAGAAGCACTGAATCGTGCATTACCAGATGTTTTAGGAGCTTCGGTTGGAGAACTCAATTTCAAGTCGGTAATTGATAAACTTGGTTCTGTTATGTATCGCTTTCCATTTCGGTTACCAGCATATTATACTGCCATTATACGTTGTTTGGGAGTATTGGAAGGCGTTGCCATTCAAGTTGATCGCAATTTTAAAATTCTTAATGAAGCTTATCCATATATTGCAGCGAGGCTATTGACAGATCCCTCTCCTGAGTTGCAGGATGCTCTTCGTGATTTGATATTTAAAGATGGTAGACCTCGTTGGAGTCGACTAGAGAGCCTTGTAGAGTCTGCAAGTACGAAACCTGAATATGACATTGGAGCAGCACTTGACTTGTTGAGTGACTTTCTATTGGGAAACAAAGCGAGAGATATTCGCTCACATTTAGTGGAAGATATAACTACAGCTGTGGATCAGTTATTTTTGGATATTGTATTGTATTATCGGCAATTGTTTATTCGAAATATATCAAGGCTGGATATTCCTATTTTGAAAGGGAACATGTTTAGTAGCCATTCTCGTCATTTGGAGAATGACACATCTTCTGAACCTCAATTGACTCGTTCTATGGAAGTCACTATGAAAATTTTGGCCATTTTAATTCGCAGTCGAGGTTTAGAACCATCACAGATAGCTGAATTGGTTCGCAAGTGGGTAATGCATGCGGAAGGAAGACGATTTGGTTTTCAGTTATCTTTTGGTTTGGCAGAAAAGTTGTCCAATCGATTGATTAAACTGGTATTTGATTTGCCCGATCGTTTCTCCGGTTAAAGTTATGTGTGAATATCTATTAACATTTTTGGGGAAAAGAGACGTGTTTAGCTTCAATCATGTCGTTGTAGTACAAAGTAAATAAAAGTATTGTTCATAAGAGACAGGAAGAATCGATTTCCCTAGTAAGTCGTTCAGTTCTCCAATATCTTGTTGTTCTTATCGCCGTGGACAACTTTGAAATACTATGGGAACTTGCTACTCTCTATGTTTCCACTTGTCGAGCAGAGTAATAAGAAGTCTGGAATGCATCTAGGTTCCAAAATCTATTGTTGTTGAAGCCATAAAGTCTTTGTAATAGTCTTCTCTTTGAAGTTGTTGTCCTTCAATAGCCTTTAAAAACTGTTCTAACAACAACACAAGGAGAGAAAACAGTCTCAAGTTCTCTTTTTACGGCAAAAACTACGTAGCAATTGTTCACAAAGCTCTGTAAAGACTTGAATTTCCTTTGATGGAATCCATTTCTATAACTCTTTTTTATAGTTGTGGAAACGAGTATTCTGCGTCAAGTAGGGACGTTGCGAAAGTAATTCCGAGGAAAAGTTTTTCTTCATTATCGTCCATATGGCATTCAGGACTTGTACATTACGTTGCAAAGATTCTCTATTGGTAAGATAATATATTGCTTGAGTACGATAAATTTATTCTTCTCTTTAGCATATGGTAGAAGCAAGCACTCAGTTACAAGAAAAACTATCAGTTAGCGGTTTCCTTGTGTTGCAGAGTTTTTCAAAGCAGCATCTTCCGATGTATACTCCAAGTTGTCGATTGAGTTCTTCTTCCAATGGCAAAGAGAGCCAGGTATGTTACCTATTCAAACTGTTTTTTCCATATCCTTGTGCTTTGACTGATAATGGTTGTCCAACTATTCACTCTTTTGTATGACTCTATGTAGGTGAAAACAACCCCGATACTAAAGAACTCCCTTTTTCGACAAAACTTCATCCCAAAGGAACAGCAACAACTGAATACCAAAGCACAGTTACGAGTGTTGAGAATGGATAGAGTTCCTTTGAGTGCCAATCATAGTGATATTGAGTTGCTTTGTACTTTAGTGGAGCCTCATAAACCTCAGTGGTTGTGTAGGCTCATGTTGGATAGAGTAAGTCCCTATGCCACTTGGTGTGTTGTTCTTGTTTACATTATTTTGTTTCTGTTTATTGATATTGTTGTGAGAACAGGTGTGTCGTCTTTGAAACAGAAGAAGCTGCTTTGGAAGCTGAGAAAGTAATATCCACCCAGTCGATTGCAGGAAGTGCGCTACATTGTTTCCGTATCAGCACCGCAGCTGTAGAAAAGGCAGTCGCTTCTACAGCCTTTTCTATGGAAGAGAGACCTCGAGTTGTTATTCTATCTAATTTACCTTATCCACTTTCTGAATATCATATTCTGTGAGAATGCTTTCATTTTAGGGTTGGTCATTACTTATGAAGAGAATAGGCAGCTATTTCGTGACTATCAGGTTGAAAGGTTGATTTCCTCTCGAGTACCATCGATGGTAAGAGATGACTCGTATTTAAGTTGGAAGGATGATATCTTTGAAAGGCTTATTTGGTTTTTGCTTCATTTGATGAAGCTTGTAGGGCTTGTAGAGAAAAGCAAAATGAATATCTAGGATGGAAGAAGATTCGTCTAACTCCAGTTGTATAATAAAGAAGAAGAAGATGTTAGAAATTGGATTTCAAAGGCATATATATATATATAAACAATTATCCATCCAGCATATGTTATTCATGGAACGGATACGATGTTATGAAGAAGAAAATAATGATAGAGACAAAGACATATCTTTACATAATAGACAGTCAGTAGAAAACACAACGTTACCAAGTGCAAAAAGTATACTTTTAAGAGATAACCTTACTGAGCCAACTGGCAAACTTGGACTGTTTCCTACTTTGGTTTTTGTAGGGTTAACCCAAGAAACTTGTGTTGAGTTGGCTGACTTTGGTAATCAGCTATGCAAACAGAGTCAAATGTTGTTTGAGAGGGAAGAAGATGTTTGGAAACTATCATTTACTTTTGAGCAAGTGAAACAGCTGAATAGAACCACAATACCCCATCCGAACGCACTGCCAGCTCATATTAGCCTCAGTAGAACTGTATTCTTGGGAGATGTATATATGGAGAGTTTCATACAAACACTGAAAAGGGTTACTAGAATAGACTATTTTCAGTTGAAAGATAGAGTGCAACGACTAGAGCTTTTTCAAAATGATGAGAATAATAGTTCATTCATAGGTTTCCTACTCGAAGACGGCAAGGACTTGGTACAGGATTGGATAGGACAAGTGGATAAAGTGATGCAGATGTTCCATTTGCCTATATTTTATTGTCCTGCAGTTCCGCATGTGACTTTGGCAAAGAGCTCATTACAGCAGTGGCCAAAAGATGTGGTTAAGATGCTCCAAAAGTTGGCTCCAACAAAGCCAATACAAATAAGAGTCCAAGGTCTCTATTGTTTGATAGGATGTAAAATATATTCTATTTACTAATCGTCAGTTTGTTTTAAACTTAGCATAGCGCGAAAAGCTTCCTGTGGAACGTCCACTTTTCCAATGGCTTTCATTTTCTTCTTTCCTTCGGCTTGTTTCTTTAGTAATTTCTTCTTTCGGGATATATCACCTTATGATAAAGATATGAACCAAAAAATGTTGAAAGTTTCCAATAAAAACTCACCTCCATAACATTTTGCCAATACATCCTTCCTTAATGCAGGAATATGTTCCGATGCTATTACTCGACTACCAATCATACCTTGAACAGGAATTCGAAACTGTTGTCTAGGAATCAGTTCCTTTAATCTTTCTGTAAGAGCACGAGCAATGGAATATGCTTTGTCACGATGTACAATATTACAAAGAGCATCCACTTTTTCTCCATTCACGGCAACTTCCAACTTGACCAAGTCTCCTACACGATATCCACTCCAGTGATATTCCATGGAAGCATATCCACGAGAGCGAGACTTTACTAGATCAAAAAAGTTGGTGACCAACTCTGCCAGTGGTAATTCATAAATAAGTGAAGTGCGAGTAGCTGTGATGTATTTCATATCTTGAAATATTCCTCTTCTCGATTGAGTCAATTCCATCAATGAACCTACAAACTCACTGGGTGTAATGATTTCTAAACGTACATAGGGTTCTTCAATATGATCGATAAGGTGAGGTTCAGGCAGCTCACAAGGGTTCTGAATTAGTAAGGGAGACTTTTTCTCCAAGTGCACATAATAACCCACACTGGGAGATGTGGTCACTAAATCTAGTCCGTATTCTCTCGAAAGACGCTCACAAACAATTTCCATATGTAATAGTCCTAAAAATCCACAACGGAATCCAAATCCCATAGCAGAAGAGCTCTCAGGTTCATAACTCAATGCCGAGTCATTCAATTTGAGTCTTTCTAAGGCTTCTCTTAAATCCTCGAATTGATCTGCATCTGCTGGATACAATCCACAAAATACCATAGGTTTAGCTTCTTTATATCCAGCTAATGGAGAATGAGCAGGTTGACTAGCTAATGTTATAGTGTCTCCAACTCTGGCATCCTGTACTGTTTTGATTCCTGCCACTAAATATCCCACTTCACCTGGACCAAGACGAGCAACGGAAACTTGATGAGGAGCTAAAACTCCAATCTCCACTGTTTCGAAATCTTTTTGGGAGTTCATAAAACGAATCTTTCTTCCAGTCTCCAATATTCCATCGAAAATACGGAAATATACAATGACTCCTCGATACGAGTCATAATAACTATCAAAAATAAGAGCACGAAGAGGAGCATCAGATCGATCTTTCGGTGGTGGAATATACTCGACAATATATTCCAACACCTTTTCAACATTCTTCCCTGTTTTGGCTGATATTTCCAAACAGTCACTAGTGTCCAGCCCAATCATTTGTTCAATTTCTTGTTTAACACGCAAAGGTTCCGCTGAAGGAAGGTCAACTTTGTTTAAGACTGGTATAATCTCCAGACCACTTTCGGAAGCTAAATAAACGTTTGCCAAAGTTTGGGCTTCTACTCCTTGACTGGCATCGACAACTAGAATAGCGCCTTCACAAGCGACAAGTGAACGGCTTACTTCATAAGAAAAGTCTACATGACCTGGAGTATCTATCAAGTTCAGAATGTACTGCTTTCCATCCGCAGCTGTATAACTCATTCTTGCCGTTTGCAGCTTGATAGTAATTCCTCGCTCCCTTTCCAAATCCATGGAGTCCAAAAACTGTTCTTTCATATCTCTGTTGCTCACAGTATTTGTCAATTGCAATAAACGATCTGCAAGAGTGGATTTTCCGTGATCGATGTGCGCGATGATACAAAAATTTCTTATTTGTTGTGGAGAGACGTTTTCAATTGTTTGTTCTTCTCCTTTGGAGTGAGTTGAAATTTCTGCCATAGAAAGGGAGACAGGAAATATAATAGAACGTGAATAACCAACATGTAGCAAATGCTTTCCAAGCCATAACCAAGGCTTGTTACCCTTGAGGCTACTCAAGCCAACGTGCCTTTTTGTGGAAACCCATCTAGAGCAGTTGACACGAAAGTCATAAAGCTGAAAGCTTGTATTACAAAATCCATACAATATGTGTCTATTACAACGTAAACATTTTCCACGGCAGGAATCAACTCTTTTAGGCATTGAATAATGTAGATGGTTATCAATTAATTCTCACAAAGGTGAAAGCAATATTGTGAAGATGAATCACAAAGTGGTTTTGTTTCGGGAAGATACACGTTTGGAAGACAACTTGATAAACTTGTTAAAGGACCTTTATGATTTTCAAGAACCTTGTAGAGACAATACACCTTGGTTATATTTTGTGGTTTGTCTTAAACTATTGTATTGTAGATGGTTCCACTGACTTGGCTTTCAAGGAACGGCTAGAACGCTTTTTGGAAATATGTCGCACTCCTAAGGAAAAGTGGTATTTGGAGTCTCTAATAATTATTTTCCAATTGCATCATTTTGTTAATTATCAACATATTTCCTATAGTGTGTTGGAGTTTTCTCGCTGGCTTTCTTGTGTCGATAAAGCGACCACGTTGTCTCACGATTGCACCGACAATAACTTTTGTGCTATTTGTAAAAAGTATTTATTGCAAGTAACGACGGCGTTGTTTATTCGCATTTCCTTTTATGGAGGACACAGTTTGATGTTGGAAAGTATTGATAGGAATCCTGTCATATCCTTGTATAGTGATGAGTTTTACAGCTATACATTGTCTTCATTTTTAGGCACTGAGCCTCTTCTTGCACTGTCTATATGGTGTGATTACAGTTCTTTCAGTCAACATGAAAAGGAAACAAGTTGGGATACTTTTCTACAAAGTGTATGTCAAACAAAAGAGAGTCGGGTTGAAAATCATGAAAAGACTTATGGAGTTGAGTGTTGGAAGGCAGTTTGGATAAGACCGACTTTGAAATGGGTAAAAGGATATAGGCCTTGTATTGTGAGCTTTATTATGGAAATTCATCGCAGTGGTCGACTTGGAAAAATTTTGAAAGCAACCGATCCAAAAACAGGAGTTTGTTATTGGATATGTTGTATCAATTGGTTGTATACAGTTGCATTTATGTTGCCTCGAAATGATACTCGTCTTAACGATCATTCCATTGACCACAAAATATGGCTTTGGATTAAAGAGTTTTGTTGGAATCTTCAAAGAATATGCAATCCCCATGAGATTTCAATAGGATAAACGACCAAAGAACTTTACATATGATGTGATTTCCTATCAAAGCCATATGCTTTTTGCATTTCTTTTGCTATGGTTTGTAACTGCATATTATCCGTTCCTTCATATATATGACCAATTTTGGTGTCCCTATAATACTTTTCCAAACCAAACTCCTTTACAAAGCCCATACCTCCTGCCCAATCGATACTCCTTGATGCTATTCGTTCAGCAACTTGAGCACTATACAACTGCTATGGGAAATACTTGTCCAGAAATGACTGTCAAGTACTTACCTCAAATATTTTGCCATTGCAGCTTCTTTTTTAATATCAAAACCTGCGTCTTTCATTCGAGCTGCATTATATAATAATGCACGAGCTGCTTCCAACTCTATAAAAGCTTCTGCATATTGAAATTGCACACCTTGAAAGTCACCTATGCGCTTTCCAAACTTAACTCATTCAGTGGAAAAAGATACTGAAATATAGAATATCAAAAATACCTGTTTCCGTTCATGCAAATAAGGAAAGATAATATTCAATGCTCCTTGAGCCAAGCCAGTCTTTCAAACCTTTCAAAAAACAGAAATCAAACAAAGAAAATTTGAATTACCATTTGAGCAGCAATTCCTATCCTTCCTTCATTAAGAGATTCAATAGCAATTTTGTAACCACTTCCAACTGGACCCAACACATTTTCTTTGGGTACTTTAACTCCTTGAAATTGCAACTCACATGTTGAGGAAGAACGAATACCCAATTTATCCTATCATGAAAGATTTCCATTAGTCGTCTCATAATATAATTGTTGTCAAACATAATACCTCTTTCTTGGCAATATAGAAACCAGGAGTGTCCCTCTGTATAATGAAGGCAGTAATGCCTTTGTAGCCTTTCTCTGGAGCACAATTTGCAAATACAACAAATAAACCAGCCTCCATAGAATTGGTTATCCACAATTTGCTCCCTTCGAGTACGAAATGATCATCCTTTTCTGTTGCTCTACACTTCAAAGCAAACGCATCGGAACCACTAGATGCTTCACTTAGACAAAAGGAACCAACTGTATCTTTGCAAAGCATTGGAAGGTACTTCTCTTTTTGTTTAGAATTGGCCCATTTCAACAAAGTATTATTCACAAGAGTATTCTGCACATCGACTGCCGCAGCAGTAGACTGTTTCAAAATGAACAAAAATCACCAAAGCAAAATATATAGAATAATACTTACGGGATCTACCTGTGCAATTTCTTCAATAACTATGCAAGCTTGAGTGAAAGATAAACCACTCCCATCATATTCTACTGGAATTTCTAAACCCATCCATCCATTGCCAAACAGTTCTTTGAAGAGTTCTGCATCCATTTCTCCTTTTTCATCCATACTTCTAACTTTCGGAGCAATGAAAGTTTGCGAAATCTTTCTAACAGCATCCTTCAACAGCCTTTCGTCTTCAGAGAATGACAGACAAGGTCCTGGTTGCCAGGAGTTGTTCGAAGACTCAGCCTTTGTAGTGACTAATTTCCGATGACAATCAAGCCACAAAGAATTTCTAAGGCTACCTTTCGGAGTATCAAATGGACTCCTCAAAAAACGAGTTACTGCATAAGATAGATGGAAAGTGGTTTTCAAGACACTCGAAAATTTCTCCATGTCCAAAGAAAAATGAAACAAAAGAGCGCCATTTCTACAGGATTCTGGAATGGCTTTCTTCAAATGAAAACTTAAATAGTTGATTGTTTTATTTGAATGTATTCACTTCCATGTGTACAACGAAAAGATATTCACATATAAGAAAACTCTTATTTGTCGGGCTCTTCTGGTGAACCAGCCAAATTGCCTCCTGGTATACTCAGGCCATATCTAATTATCCACTGGCTGTTTTATCACCATATAATAAACTGTCCATTTCCAACGGCATTCGAACCAAAACTGCAACTGCATAACCTATAGCGAGCACCAGCACAACGCTGGTCCAAAAAACTAACTGAAAGGTCGCACCGGCAACAGAAGTATCGGTAACTGCGTTTTCGCTCACTTGTCTTGCAAGTATTGTCTCCATGTTGGTGGCATCTACAATATAAACCAACAAACAAAGCAACAAAAATATCTTGAACATTTTCAAAGGGTTTAGCTATTCTTCCTCTCTTCTCACACAACGACGAATCAATTCGGAGAACAAAATTTCAATCAAATTCCTTTGGAGTTTGAAATTCATTGCTGCTCTTCTGTTGCTGCCATCTTACAAGTAGTTTCTCCAAACCAAACTTTCTCAATGATACTTTAACCGAATTCACATGGGCACCTTGACAGCCTTGTTCCAAAAAACTGAGCATATAGTGTTCGTCTTCAGAGTCCAGATCACATGTTTCCTTAATTCTTTCCATCATCTCCTTCATTAGATAAAAACTAGACTTCTCGACAGACTGTTCTTGAGTTGCTTGTTCATTAACCAAAGCCGACGATTCTTTTGGCTGCTGAACATTTTCTACACCAAGTTCAGATGGTTGTTGCTGAGATGTGGGTGATGAGAACGAACTTGATTGGTCTCTAGCAGGTAAAACCACCATTTTCCTACCTTCCAGTCGATAATCTAATTCCTTTCTCTCCTTGTGAGATTTCTTTCTTTCATTGCGTTCTCTTTCATATTCTTCATTGGTCAGTAGACATAAAGGAATATAACTGCCCCAAATATGCTTGGCCACTTTCAAACCTTCCGACTGGACAAGACAATCTTTCTCTTCGACCATCCAACGTAGCCAACGTAAGCAAAACTGTATTGACTGTTCATCATATTTGCGAAGACGATTCCTCAATGTGGCTCTTAAAGCAACTTGCTTTTGCAACAAACGAATTGCAGATCTTCGAGTTCGTTCATATCTTTCCAATCTATTTTCTATCCACGCTTCTAATAACCATTCTAAGAATTCTATGTGGCCTCCATACAAATGAAACAGACATTCCATTGCTATTTTAATCAGAAGTAAATTGCAACTACGAAAACTTTTCCAAAGAGCCTTTTCCCAGTCATTGGATTCTCGCTCACTGGATACCAAACCTTCCGTTTCTGAAACTACCATAGGCTCCCAGTCGTTAGGAATCCTCAAGAAACCACCCAGTTGTAAAATAGTCAAACCCTTCAGAGATGCTCCAGTTATTATATTGTGATAACTTGGCATGGCTTCTTCTCTCTTCAAGTAACGAAACAATTGTTTATAAACTCTATGACGGGTAATCTGGTCTTTAGCATATACGGAACAGATTGCACAAGCAATAATTAGATTATGTAAATAAAAACAATCATCAAAAAGAGGTGGATATGCAGTATCATTTTGTTCCAGAAGACTTAATAATAATTGTAAGACATCATACGGAAGGCTTTCTTGTATATGAGTCATTTGAAATGAAGCAAGATTCAAAGAGAATTGGGAATCATAGCCATATATAGGAAAAGATATGGGATGAATTGCTTGAGCGATGGCTTGAATAACTGCACATTTCACGAAATATTCTGATATATCATCAAAATGATTCGATAATACAGCTCCATGTTTGTCAAAATATCTGAAAAGATCATTGTGTTTTCAATATAATAGATTGTATATATGTGGTAACTTGCGATACTTACTTATTCCTTAAAAGCTTTAATAAGGCTTCCAATCCCATCAATCGATCGTTTGTAGTATAACATTTCGCTAAACATCGAGCGCACTCGCCTCTTACTTGAAAATAATATCTTGAATCTGTCAAAATTTGTTCTAAACATCGAATAGAAGTTACAGAAACTCGTCCTTTCGTTCTACTCATTAAGGTTTCCAATGCTTCCAACTGACCCCACACATCTCGACAATTTCGCAAACAAGATATAGAATCTCTCTCTGAACGACGAAATTCCACGAATTTGAGAATCCATTCTTGGTCAGGATCTATTCGAACCCACAAAACAGGATCTTTCTCAATAATAACGCCTTCTTCATCCAAGTTTGCTTCTGTT